TGCCACGACAAATTTACAGCCAAATAAATCTTATTTTCTTTAAAGCTTTTGACTCATAGATTACTTGTTAGATTCAGTACATCATGAGGTCGAACAATGAGAATACAGATGTAAACAATATAAGTACACTTACATTTTATCTAGGCTCCCCTTTCAATCTATATGTATAATTATATATATATATATATATATATACAATAATGGAATTTAATTCAGTAATAAATAATTTCAGTTATTGTAATTATAAAACTTGGTATGATTTTAATTCACGGTCTGTCCGATTTATTTTTACTGGTCACTTTCATATGCTAATTAGTATATATATACCGCGAAATTTAGTCCGTGCATTTTACCCAAGGTTGATTTGTAATTTGGATTCAAACCTTACACGGAGCTTGGCCAAAGCTACAGAATTAACCCGCCCTCCCATTTTCCCATGATGAATATTCTCTGCTGCTTTTCATTTATCGTTTCAGTTCTGAAAGAATTATTATAGAACCAGCGTCATGGCATATATAACAGACTGAGCTTGGTGTTTTTATGTATTGTGAATGGACTGGCCAAATTTACTTTATGCTGCTATGGATTGCCCAGTGGCTCCTAATATAACTTTGTTACTGCTGGATGGCCCTTCAGTAATTTAATCGTCATCAAGTTTTGATTGACAAGTTGGTTGTGTTTCTTTGTTGCAATAAATGCCATGACAAATTTACAGCCAAATAAATCTTTAAAGCTTTTGACTCATAGATTATTTGTTAGATTCAGTACATCATGAGGTCGAACATTGAGAATATAGATGTAAACAATATAAGTACACTTACATTTTATCAAGTGCCCCTTTCATTCTATATGTATATTAGACTTGTATATATATATACAATAAATATATACAATACATATATACAATAAATATGTACAAGTATAAATTGAAAACAACGTTCAAACCTATGATTGCGTTGGATAAAAACCGCAATTTTTATACGTGTGCATACAAAACAAATTTCTTGGTAGAGGGGTCTAAATACAACACAAACAACATTTTCCAAAAGACCAAAAAAGTGAAAGTATATTTTAACAAAACGCATTTGACTTGCAGATCGAACAACGGATGTTCTTAAACCCTGCTGAACCTATTGGCGATTGCCAAATAAACGGATCACCAGATGTAACAAAATGGATCTTATTTATTAATTTAATACCAAACAGAAAACAATAAACTTGCGGAAAAGATGGTATACCGCTAACAAAAGGTGCAAAAATTAGTACACCATATCCGGATTTCGAAAATTAATGTCTCTTCAGTGATGTTACGAATCAAAACGGTATTTGGAAGGCCATATAATTTACCTCAATTTAGGATAGACTCTTGAATTTTGAAGAGTCGAAATAGGATGAACGAATCATATAAACCCGAAGGAAAATATTATACAAGCCCAAACGAAACAATGAATATATATATATATATATATATATATAACGATTATTATCATATACTTAGAGTAAATAACTTATAATTTTTACAGTATGATAATAGCATTAAATTTACGTGAATTCCATATTTTCCGAAATGGTGCTTAGTGGGCTGATATGAAAAAGTTATCAACTGCTTCCGGCTATTATCGCATGACATTCCGACGTTACACGGCAAATTCCGGAAAATACACCTCAATGGTACGTTTTCAGTGAAAACACAAAGTAGGGTACAAAACAAATATTAGGAAACTGGAAAATATATTATGTAAAATGCAAAACAAATGATACAATAAATGCATTTTGCAAAGTTTCCAGCATAATTTAGCAAGTTACTTTACAAATGTTGACTTTTCCAAACAGTGTTTATTATGTTTTGTTGATTTTTTTTTTATCGTCAATATTTATAGAATAACTAATCGAAGAATTCAAATAGAGAAAAATATTCAACGAGTGACCGAACAACACATTAATTCAAGAATGCGCGTAGCGCATGAGTTAATTATCAGTGTTGTTCAGTCACGAGTTGAATATTTTTCGATATTTGAATTCTTTGATTAGTTATTCTTTTTATTACATTGGCAAATGGCTTTTTTAATGAAATTAATGTAAAAATTGTAAGGAACTATATCTTTTTTCTACGCATTCACAATTTGTTTTGATCCGACATGATCGACGTCTTGACAACGCCTATTGTTGTATGACGTCAGAGAGTGAAATAACCACGTTTATTTCACATGTGAAATTATCGGTTTTTATTTGACTGGGAAATCAATGTAATTCATTGCTACCAATGTAATAAAACAATATATTATACTGTTGTTGTGTTCCTCTGTTGCATATGATAGAAAGATTTCTTATCGGATGTATAACATTTGGCGTCCGTCGTCCGTAAACTTTTCACTTTTTGAACTTCTACTTGAGAACAACTTAAATGGATCAATATATTAAACTCTTATTTTTCTCCATTCTTGAAGCATATGATAAAAAGATAATAACATGTCATTTTTCATATCAGATGTATTGTCAGCCCAAGGTTCAATACTTGGGCTGATAATACATCTGATATGAAAAATGCCATGTAAAATAATCTGATAATATTCTCAATTTATCCTGAAATATCGATATATTTATATAAACTACAGCCTAAGACACTTTGTAGCTAATTATTATAATTTTGTATCGAAGATGTCTGCTATGTTTCACGCTGACGTAACTTACCGATCCATTTTCATCATGGCTTTGCAAACAACTCTCTTATTGAAACTGTTTTTTTTTTCGAGCAACCAAATACAGTTTAAATGTCCCGAAAAAATTATAGATCTGTTAGTCAGAGGTAACAAAATAAGTTAATCAAAATAGAATTAAAGCAATTAAAAACGATTGATAAGCAACAGCTTTAAATATCAAACCGCTGCTTTTCCACCTTGACTTTTCTTCGGTCCGAAATCATTTGTTTCTAAACAGACTCCGCGACCTAGAAAACTGAATTCGTGTAAACACGTTTATTTTAAAATGCTTCCTATATATAAACTATAACATGCCTTTGTTTTAAGAAATTATTAACAACTACCGCATCCGTTTTATTGATAATAGCGTTTAACTGATTTGTGTCTCTCCTCTAGGAAGTCGATATAGCGAGACTTATGTTTTCAGTTGCGTCGACGGCGTCAACAATGTATTTTGTGATTAGGTCAGTTTAAGGTGAACCACTAGTGGTAGGTCAATGATATTTGGTAAGTAGTTGCATTAGCATTGGCACATCTCATGGAGAATATTTGGCCCCACCCCCTCAGTCATGGTATATTTTCTGAAACTTTTTCATAGTTTACATGAAAAAGTTTGAATTTAGGTCCATTTAAAGGGAACAATTTTTAAATTAATGGTATTTTGTATGCACCTGTATTAGCATTTACATTTCTCTTTACAACGGAAGTCATTTGGTCGTGCACTTTCAGTCATGGTTCATTGACTTTGAATGGTTTGCATAGTTTGTATATTTAAGTTTCAACATTTGTGTTGTACAAGCAAAATTGCATAATGGTGAGACATATCTCTGTGCCAACAGTTTATAATAGTTGGTTCTTATGGTGTGCTGTAGCACCACTGTTCCAGGTTAGGAGAGGATTGAGAGCTTGCAAAAATGTTGAACCACACCACACTCTGTGTTTCGGTCCAAGTCAGGTGCCTGTAATTCAGGGGGTGTCGTTAGTCGCCGACTATCAAATTTGTTTTTCGTTTATCCTTTTGAATATAAATCGGGCTGTTGGTTTTTCTCTCTTGGATTGTTTTCCATTTTGTCATTTCGGGCTTTTATAGCTAACTATACGGTGTTTGTTTTTCTCATTGTTGAAGGCCGTACGGTGACCTATAGTTGCATACACCTAGCTTGATACATGTATATTAGGTAAGAAATTACCCAAACTGAGCCTTCTATGATTTCCTGTTTTCAAAACATTCTGATTATAGGGTAAAATTTCGTTGGTTTTTGCCTGCTATTATTATTTTTGTGTTTTGTTTTACTAGTATAAACATATAGGCTGTTGGTTATTCTCATCAACACAGTAGCAGTATATCAAAATTACAAATAAAAACATAGTTGCTTGATGCATTTATACATGTTTTAAATGTTCATGTCTCATCAGTGGTTTTGAAAACCAATTATAGGAATAAAAGAAAATGTTTGGACAAAGGATAACGGTACTAAATAAGATATCTGCTTGGCCTGTGGTTATTTTAGCTTGAGACAAAATACTGCCTTTTCTTGAAAAATAATTTTTGCTGGTTGCAATTGTAGTTTTCCGTCCATTGTCCTTGTCTACGTAGTCAAATGAAAATTTTAGAAGTATTATGTTATATGTGTGCAGTATTTTTTCATTGGATATTTAGCAACTATCATTCAATCTTTGCAATTCTTAAAAAGTCATGCAAAGGAAATCTATCTATAGTTTCAATTCATTTACGGTTTCAACAGACTTAAATATATAAAAAAACTATTAATTTTTTAGATAGTTTTAACGGTCCTTTTTATCTTGTTTTGTGCGTCCAACGATTTGTGTGTATGTTGTGAGCCAATGTGATATGTTTACTGAAGAAAGACTAAAAGACTTTAATATCAATTCAACCTTGTTACAAGAATATCAAATCGCAACAATCGAGAGACGACGACCACAACAACTCAAAAATATAAATATGATACCATAAAACACAACATTTGAGGTAATATAAACAACATGCAACAATGAAAAGCTAAAGCTTGTGTAGTGTTTTGATAGTGATGGTCACTTTTCCACTCTAATATGTATACTCATTAGAGAATATAAAATAAAGACACGTGGTACAATTGCCAATGAGACAACTTTCCACCAAAGTTCAATTGAATTGGATTTAAGTTACTATAGTTCACCGTGCGGCCTTCAACAATGAGCAAATCCCACACTGGATAGTCATCTATTCAAGGAACCGATTTGACTGGTGAAGGATTTCAACAATTATATCAAACAATTTATAACATCTTTTATGATATCTAGGTACAACAAAAGACACAGGAATTAAAGATCACAAGAAAGGTAAGAACAAATATTTTACAGCATAAGATATTTGTATTGATTTACCGAATCCAGAATAATTCATGGAACAGAGCAAGATAATTTGAAAACAGGTATTAAATCGTTTGCATGAAAATCTTTAAAACAAAGAGAGAACAAGACAATCAACTTTTCAAAGTGCTTTTCGCAGTAACATTTTACAAACATATTTTCATACTATTGGTTTGTTTATTTGCAAAATTGAATTCTTAGGTAAAAGTTAAGGTGGTTGCACAGTTATATGACAGTATATATCATATATTTTTTAAGGTGCGTTCACACGGTGTGATTTTCTATCCGATTTTATACCGTCCCACATGTAAATCGTACAACGTTCTGTTCACACTATACGATTTTCATTCGATTATCAAGCGACATCCGATTTTAGCGTTCAGACGGTGCGATTTTTGTCGAAACGAAATTATAGGTAAAAAATCAGATGGAAATCGGGTGGAAAATCGTACTATGTAAAACCACATTTAGAGTCAAATCTATGTCTAGCCTCAAATCTGTGTCCCGTGGCGTCATGACACTCATATATATGGTCCTTTGTCCAGCCTCAAATCTGTTTCCTTTCCTCAGATCTGTATCTCGTGGCGTCATCACACTAAAATCTGCAGTCCTTTGTTTATTCAAAGCCGTGTCCTTTTTATAAAATAGACTTTCAGTAATGTGACGTGAATTTGAACAGGCACATATAAAATGCGACAAGGTTAACGCGCTCAACCCATTCATAACCTTGGACCGCCCGTTGTGTAATATCACAACTTAAGAGCATCAGATCAGCAAAAAGCATAAAAAAAAAGCAAAGAGGAAAAACCCAAAAAAGACGAAAGACACAAAGTACCGATCTAAGAGGACTCAAATCTATTTTTTTATCATTTGGCCTTCAAGTCATCGTTACTTATTTGACGAATAAACAAGAAACGTTTATTACTAATGTGTTTAAAATGAGAGAAAAACAAGTTTTATATTTTGACTGTTTTCGGTACTATCTATACTATTAAACGAGAAGACCTCATTTTGTGTGTCGCTTCTCTTCCTTCCACAATAAATTAATCATCATGCCTCTGTGTCCTACAGGTACCATGCATAGTCGCATTCGTCATCCTCTCTTATGATTATTCAGTTTGGGTAATTTTGGGAGGAAAACGAAAATAAAGGCGTCCGGATATTGTTTCCGTCATCGGACAGACTTTTAAGTCATAGAAAAGACTTCCGTTTAGGACTATTTTAAAATTACACATAATTTTCATTGGGGACAAGACTATTATTTTCGCGTTTTTATGTATACTATGATCATACATATACTATAAATAAAGTGTATTTGCTATTTACTATCAATTCCAAGTTACTATCCACGGCGGTCACTGATATATTATATAGAAAGTCTCTATATTATATATCAGTGACCGCCGTGGATAGTCTCTTAGTCTATATAATATATCAGTGACCGCCGTGGATAGTAAACTTGGAATTGATAGTAAATAGCAAATACACTTTATTCAACGTATATGTATGTTCATAGTATACAGAAAAACAGACAAAAAAATTAACGGACTTTGGAAAAAGGGGGAGGGCTAAAAAAAATTGTCCTATCCCCAAGTACCGATGACTTTTGATACCTATCCTGAAATTCTCCAGTCATAAATCTTTTACAAAAATTCATCCTAAAACAGTTTAAATACTTTCAATTACGCTCTAATGCCCGCGATTTCGCGGGTGTGTTCTAGTTTCTTTGATTTAAAAAAAAAACAAAAAAAACTTGACAATAAGCTTAATAAATGACTGAAAAATAAAACGCTTTTAACACTTTTTAATTGCGAAAAATTGTAAGCTTCGATGTACATCGGTCAACCTGTTTTCTTGCATGATAGTGATTTCGTTGGTGAATCGTACCCTTTATCTGCATTCTAATATTGAAAAAGGGACACAGAGTTGAAATAGATGTGAATATTCAGTTCTTCTTTTATTACCGCAGTCCTTGGGATACAAAAGGAAACTTTGATGAAGCCACATTACACAAATATGCCTTTTCTCTTAAGATTTGGTCTAACTTCAATTTTCTAATCTTCATCAAACAAACAACAACCAAGTTAAGTTTTTTTTCTCATTTAGACGATAAAGAACACACAGAATGGATGATGAAACTCAGCATTTCAGTGGCTGTATTTTCTCTGCTTGTAGTTGCTGTTATTTCAATTTCAAAATGGTAGGTGAAAGTAAAGCTCATTTTCATAACGCAAGAAAAGACAATAGAGAGCATGCACGTTTGAGATACATACCTAGATATAAGAAGATGTGGTATGAGTGCCAATGAGACAACTCTCCATCCAAGTCACAATTTGTAAAAGTAAACCATTTTAGGTCAAAGTACGGCCTTCAACACGGAGACTTGGCTCACACCGAACAGCAAGCTATGAAGCCGGGCCCCAAAAATGACTAGTGTAAAACCATTCAAACAGGAAAACCAACGGTCTAATCTATATAAAAAACGAGAAACACTTATGAACCACATCAACAAACGACAACCACTGAACATCAGTATGTGAGATATCGAATAATACTCGCAGTGTGTAATCCCGCTGATATCAGTATGAACACTTTATGGTAAAACCATGAAACTTTACACAATGTTAGTTATGCTACTAATGACCAGTTTTGGACAAGACAAGACAAGACAATATTTTATTTGAGTCTCACCTCTTATAAAACATTTACATAATATTACAACTTCACATATAAAACAAGAGCCACTCTAAAAAGAGTTATGAGAGACTATAAAAATGATATATACATTTACATAATTATATGTATACACACATAAAATATAAAACATAAAACATAATAAAAGTATACATTTTAAGAATATGATAAACATTTTTCAATAAAATATCATAGCAGATTTTGGCAGTATAAAAGTAAACATTTTCATCACTAAATAAAAATACAAATTTATCGTCATCTGACATACTATTAAAATCATGACAAAAAGAATTAGCAAGACTAAACAATACAGCACGAAAATCTGCATATAGTACAATTAAAACATATTCTATCATTAATAGGTAAGTTCTGATACCGGCCCGTTTCAATTTTTAGGGGCGCAACACCACAGCGAAATTTTGCAAAAGCACTTCTATATTTTCCTGCAATAGTTTTACAAATATAATTTTCTACCTTAAATTCTGTTTTAAATAATTTATAAGTACGTAGTTTGGCATATTCATTCGAAACCAACTTATTATGCCATTCCGTTTTAAATAAATCAATAGCTAAGCATTCTATATCCTTAATTAAATTTTTAGTTAATAATATATCACAATTACAATATGGTTCAAGATTATACTCTTTAAACTTCGTCATTACTCTGAAGCACCAATTTTTAATTGGTTTATTTCCATACTTATATGACCACATAAATACTCGTTTGTTCAATCTATTATTGTCCATTTTACAAAATCTGGACCATAATCTAAAAACAGGTGTCCATTGCTTCACATTGCATGGAATCCAGCCCATATCACCACACAGAGATAAGTTTGGTGTGTATATTTTCCTACACCCATAAAACATCTCATCGCTCTGTTTTTAACTGCATTTATGCAAGAGAGTTCTCTTGTTCCCCATATTGAAGCACCATAATCGATGACTGACCATACAAGTGTGTCAAAAAGCTTTGTATAAGTAGAGGAATAAAAACCACCATTTGATTTACATTTTGCGATCAATAACCCAAGAGTTCTACTTGCAGACTTGGCAATAGCTTTTGCCATTAAATCATAATTTAAAAATTCTGTAAGATGTAAACCAAGGTACGTATATTGTGTAACAATTTCAATATTATCATTACCAAGCATAAATTTATAAATAGACCTTGGAGATGAAGGTGTTCTAAAATGAATAATCTTAGATTTACTTAAATTAACACTAATATCATTTTTATGACACCACATATGTAAAACATCTAAGAGCCTTTGTAAGTCTGATTCATTATAAGCAAGTAAAACAATATCATCAGCATAGAGCAAAATACATATTTTCTCTTCCTCTAGCGGAATACCAACATTTAAACTTTTAACTTCATTTACTAAATTATTAATAAAAATATTGAATAAAATGGGCGATAACACACACCCTTGTTTTAGACCACATTTAACATCAAAACATTGGGTTAAATTCCCATTAATTTTAACACATGACTGTACTTTATGATATAAAGATTTTAAAGCATTCAACATTTTACAACTTATTCCTATTGACTCAAGTTTACAACATAATAAAAATCTGTTTACAGTATCATACGCTTTTTTGAAATCAATAAAAGCTGCAAAAGTTGATAGTTTACACATTTTTCTTGTTTCAATAATATTAGTAATTGTTGACAAATGATCAATAGTACTACGATTAGACCTAAAGCCATTTTGTTCATCATGTATAAAATTTAGTTCATCAAGCTTTACAGTTAACCTTGAATTCAGTACTCCGCAATACAGTTTATATGAAGTTGGCGCCAATGTTATTCCTATGTAAGACATCGGGTCTCGAGGGTCGGAAGTCAAACTCTTTGGTATCGGGGTGATTATCCCTCTACTCCATAGCTCCGGTATCATTCCGGTATTATAACAAATATTGAACACTTGAGTAAGGGCGTTTATAGCTGTCAGATTTTTATACATCTCCATCGGAATTTCATCACAACCAGGAGATTTTCCCGCTTTTGACAATTTTAAAATATTGAGAACTTCTTCACTCGTTATTTCACTATCAAGAATATCATCGGTTATTATGCAACTGCTATCATCATTTTCGGTAGCTTCATACAAATTTCCAGAATTTAACATATTTGAAAAATCACACTTCCATTTATTTAAAACAATTTTCGGATCGGTACATATTGAATTATCTTCCATTTTTACTTCCATTGGAATACTTTGCCTGTTGTTTCCTACTCCAATTTTCCCGATTTTCCTCCAAAATTCTTTCGGATTATCTTCTGAATTCTTTAATTCCTCTTGCATACTTTACCAGTATTTGCGTTTGGAACGTTGACACGCTTTATCGAACTTCGAACTGTTTACTTTTTTGGACATAATCACGACGTAACGTGCTTTTATTACAGGTTGCTTTAATCCATATTTTTTCAGCACTACAGACACAATTCCATTAAACGGTCAGTTCCTCATTCCACCATGGCTTTTTGCATCTACGGCGTTTGTTATTAAATCCATCTGTAATATATGTTTTACACGGAAGTTTACTTGACATCTCTGTTTTTACCACTTTAATAAATTCACAATACATCTGGTCTAATTCGTTTTGTGACTTATTTGAGTTTTCAAGGTATAAAATAAGTTTGTTTAAGTCACAAATAACTTCCGAATTTAATGAAAAGTCCTGAGGTATGTTTTGTATGTCGTATTTTGATTTCACAGTTTTTTTGGTATTATGGTGTTATTTTGGGCACTTCAAAGTCTAGTGACATCTCTCATGATAACATAGAATGGTCTAGAACAATTCCTTTTAAGTCATATTTTCCGATACCATTTACAGTGTCGACTAAAGTACTTGCACGATTTACACTAAACTTTTCAAAATGCTGTAACCTTTCGTAAGGTACTATGCAGTAATCTACTACACCAGATCCTCGAGTAAATACGTACGTAAAACCATTTTGAGTCATATTTCAGCCATTAAGTATACAACAGCTTACATCAGATAAAAAATCACAGAATATACTTCCATACGTATTACATTTGAAATCAACTACATGTCGTTCTGGTAAGGAGTCTACGCCTGGTATGTAGAAAACAGTTTTGGACACAGTTTTTTTTTCAGTAAATCGAATCCACATAATTCCATCTTTACTGCTTTCGACAATTTCTATTAAAACTGATCAGCAAAATCGTTCCTGACTAAAACACCAACACCACCCGATCCACATTTCGCCCGTTTGTGTATATTATTTCGCTTATGGCCAAACCATTGATATCCATTTATTACAATAGAATCATTTCCTCTTAAGTGTGTTTCCGGCAGTCCAACTATATGCAGATTACAGTGTGTTATAATATCGGTTAAAAGGTTAAATTTATCCCGTTTGCAGTCAGTATTCCAAAATCCACATTTTACCTAATACCCTCTTCTTTTACCATTTCGACCTCTGACGCCACCATTTCTACCACGTCCAGAATTATTATTTGCTGGTTGCGTTCTTGTTTGTCCATTTACTTGATTGACATCGCTTTTACCAGCTACGACAGGACTTTTCTCCTTAAACACACGATTATCATTTGATGTTGGACAAACCCTTGTTCCTCTCATTTCTAGCTTATTCATGCCAATTGCTTTCACTATATTGCGCAAGTTGTTGTTCATTAGCCTCTGTGCTTTCGGTATATCATTTTCGATAAAAACGTCCTGGAAATTTCTCGGCTGTTTTAGCTCTCTTTTCTTTTCCAACACTTTACGTTTTTCTGCACTTGACTTTAACTTAGCTACCACAACACCATGCTTCTTTTTATTTGCCGTTTTCTTTCTTTCCGCTGAGACCACTTGTATATCTTTCAGGCGTAATCCATCTTTAAAAACACTGATAACTTTATTCACAACACTTTCGGTTTTCGTTTTGGATTTTGAGTCACGAAAAAAAATCTAATATGGCCACCAAATTAAAGATGGTCGACATAAAGTACTAGGAATACAATACCATACACTTAATGAGGTCTACCAATATGCTAGAGTTCAGTACATATTCATGTAGGGTATCAAATGAAAGCCCCGAATATGAGCTATCTAAATATTACCAGATTTTAATATTTGTTGTTCATGATTATTCTCACAATTGAAATATATACCCACTACCCCATGAAAAAATGGCAAAAATGGCAAAAAAAGTTTTTTTCAATTGTCAAAAAACACCAAAAGTATGATAAACAATTGATTATTTGATGTATTCTAATAATTATTGAAGTAGTGGACATATTTTGTGGTATTTTTTTAAGTTTGAAGCACGATTTATAGTCAGAATATGAGGAAATTGGTAACATATTTTGAAATATCCAGATTTGTTAATTTTCACCTTTTGCCTCTGATGACAAATATGCTTTTGCTAAAACAGTTCGGTTGATCTCAATTGAAAAAAAAATGTTTAAGCTTTCATAGAAATACCACACATTGGTAGTTTTAATAGGATAAATACTACGTATATTG